ACCTATTTTTAGGTACGATTCTTCTTGAACTTCTAACAAAATATTTATTATTGCAAAACAATTAGGATGGCAAGTATAAAATTGACTGTTAAAATCTCTTTGAAAAACTTCAGGTCCGTTTGTTGTCCTAGGATCCATAGATGGCTCACCTGCCCAAAAATGAGGTGGGAATAAACTATTTTCATCAATAAACGTGTCTACAATATAATCCGTGAAATGTTCAACATTGGGTGGTGCATTGGCCATGAGATATACAAAACCATCATTAACCTCATTAGAAGGTAAATAACTTAGAGCGAAAAAACTTTGAAGCCACTGGTACACAACTGTTTTTCCAGCATAGTGTTTATTTAATTCTTTGTAATTTTTAATGCAACGAAACCAGGCTTGACTTAAGTGAAAACGACAACCTACCACTTGACAATTTTCGAAAACTTCCAATACTGCGTTGTGAGCAGCTTTTTCAAAGTCTAAATGTATCATTTTCAATTGCAATTGTTGTCCTTGAAATTTAAAATATAACTCTTTTATTTTCAACCTAACATCAGTACATGATTTTTGTGTTTTAGAGTCCATAAAAACAAATATAATTGTCACATAAAATCCATTCAAATATACATGTATTGTATACATTTGAAGGAAATATTTTGGTGCATACGAAAAAGTTCCATCAGCAAAAACATGCTTTGAACTATTTAAAAGGGACATATTAGTAGCATTTGTAAAAATAGGTATACTATTTTCCGAATCCATGAAACAAAATAGTTCATTATTTGAAACAAAATCTTTTTTATTTTGAAAAATCATAGCTTTTGCTTCGAATAAAGATTTTGATATTTTTGGAAATATTTTTCGTCTAGCTGCATACATACTTTTCCTGAATAACCTGACGTCAGAATGACTTAGGTGCTCTGATTTTGGGCAATTACGTAGTTCTTGTCGTATAAGTTTATTTGGCTTCACGTTAAGATCAGTAGTTGCTTTGCGCTTTAAAATTGACATCACTGTTTGTTTAGTGATGGTTTCTTCAACTAATTCATCATTACTATGTTCACCATTTATTGAAATTACCGTTTTTAAATTGGCAGTTAATTTAGCAGTGACAGTGCATTTACGATTCGTGCAACGAAAAACTTAAGTTGTATCTTTGTTTTCCCTAAACTCGCTAAATTTATAACTGTTCATCATAACACACTTTTTCCCACGTCGGGTTTCAAAAACATCATAAAATATTCACGTCCATAATTACAAAGAATAAAATAATCTTGTCGATTGAAAATCCAAATCGGAACTGAACATTGAAACGTTGAAACATTTAGTTAGTTTCATAAACCATATCTTATAAAGATATCATATCTCAATAAGCCTATTTCGCAATAATCTATTGGCAATTAGCGTATGTACCCAAACGTGCTATGTGTTTGTGTACCCAAACGTGTTCTACATTTACAGTTAAAAATAATGTAATGTACCCAAACGTGCTTCGCCCTTATTATCCTTACACAATTATTACAAAGAATAATAAACTCGAGTGACAATCTGTATAGTTCAAATAATATTATTACAGCTTGTGATTATATAATTATATCATAAGACAACAACATTTATCATTTATAGTATTATTCTGATTTATAAACAATTATATATTTATATATTTATTTTATTTTAATTACAATAGAGTTGTAATGGACTGTGTGTATTCTGGAAATTTCTTGTCTTACGCTATAAAATACGCAGAATTATGGGACTGGAAAAAAAAACGTGTGATCAATTCGATGGTAAATGAACACACAGAGCCATCGAATTACATTCGAAATAAATATATGATATAATTTGTTGTGGTATTCGTTTGTAATGCTAAATAATTTTTGTTACATTTTATTGTAATATTTGTTGATTTTCTTGCAGCTCTCATTAATAATATCTAACTTTAAAAAACAACTAAAAAATATTGATTATGCCCAGGGAGGTGGTGTAACCTAGGAGTACTTCAGGGCCCCATAAAAATAATAAGTAATGTTTAAAATGTTCATAGGTATACAAAATGAAATAACTTTTGTTAAAATCAATATTTTTTAATGCTAAAAATAAAAAAAATGTATAACAAATAATTATCTATAAAATATAAACATTAACTACCTTAACACAATTATATTATATTTAAGTCAGTGCTATTGACTAATCGATTTTGAACAGTATCTAGTAGATGTAAAGTTCATTTAAAATATGTTATATTGCTATCATAGCTATAATATAAAATTAGGGGAGAAAATTAGAGGAGCGGTCAAACATTTACCATATTATTTAATATCCAGAGGATACCATTTTGCTTAGAAGACAAATTTATTGTTTCATCCTAGTTGCATTTGAAAATTTGTTCTCCAATACACAGAATTTACAAAAAAAAATGAACTTAAAGGTCTCATTTTAAATGTGTTGAAAAACTATTTGGAAATATATATTTAATAATAACAAATTATCATTTATTTATTTATTAAAATTGATTTAAATATTAAAATAGACCACTACCAACTATTGGTACAATGTAACCTAATAGTTAACACTTAGTATATAGTATAGTAAATGCTAAATACTAAATAATATATTATTAATTAGGTATATTTTAATAAGTAATAAAGTTATATTTAATTGATGATACTAAAATAGTAAAATAGAAAGATAACCAAGACATTTGACTACAAATAACAAGACAATTATTTTATATTGTATTAATTAATAATAGAACTTATCGTGTTTGTAAATGACTACAAAAGTAAATTCAAAAAAATTTACTACATGAATTTACAGATCAGGTTTATTATTTATTATATAATGGTTGAACACTTAACACTAAGACTAGGACAGCTTTACTTCTATGGCAATATACTATAAGGAAGGTATAGGCTATAAGCTATAAGTCTATATATACATTGCAAGTTTATAAATTATACTAGTAATTTAAGTCAGGTATAACTTAGACAATTCAATTACAATATCATTATAAAATATACCTACTTAGTAATATTATAAGCTGACAGACCGTCAAATTCATTTTTTGTATACAATTTTTTTATATCATTAAATTCAAATATTTAACACATCCAATTACAGTGATTCTCTAAACACCTTATGGACAATAAAGCAGTACCCACTTACCCGCATATATGTATTAAAGTTATTTTAATATAAAAGTGAAAATATATAACAATTATTGTTTATGTATATTTATTAAATCAAAGTAAATATCTAAGAGAAAAAATAAAAAGATTAGAAGTTTGAGACATCATCTACTACAATTTATTATCTCTTTAACACTTACTATTATTATTATTGTAATGTTCTAAATTTCTACAAAATTTTTAATACAAAATAAATAAATATAAAAACAAATAAGTATGTAGGTCTATTTTAGTATATTATACATACATTTACATACATTAGAACTAATATTAAATTTCTGAACAAAACTAAAGAAGGAATGTATAGGTATCATAGTATATATACTAAGCCCATTTATAATATAAATTCAATATCACAATTTATTGTCCTCCATTATTTTCCTTTCATTATAAAATAATCTACTATAGGTTATAACAAATATAATTTATTACCTAAATTATAAAATAAGATAGTAAGATAGACAGAATAGAGAATGACATGAAAATAGCTGGTGTAAGACGTAGATAAAGGCTATGTGTGAGGAAAGCCCTATGGAGATGTAGGACAAGTTGGGCTTGTCCAAATTACAAACTAAAAAAATAGTATTTAAATCGATTGCCTGCATATTACCTTGAAATATAATATAATAGTAATAAATAAAAACAGCTATTAATATTTTAGGAAGTATTTCACTTTTATTTTTTCCAGTTGATGAAATAAAAATTATGTGTGACAGGTATATCTGGAGAAGCAGCTTCTAAAATTAAAAAAATTATCTATGCAGATATTTTAGAATTTCTGAGCCAAGTTATAGGGACCAGAAAGAAATATATTAAATTACTGCAAAACCAGAGTAACTTATCAGAAGGTAATTTTGATGAATCCTCTGATTCGATTTACCAACATTTTGAGAAAGATAAAATCAATAGGACAAACCAACAAACTAAATAAACTAATACAACTCTTGAAGATTAAGGTGAAAGTTAACTATCACTGGGGGAACCAATTGAAAAAAAGAAAATGCTACAAAAATGATAAATACTACATAAAAATGAACAAACTACAACATTTTGAGAATAATCTTCTAGGTGTTCTACAGAATCTTTTTATTCTAAAATAACTTTTTATCTTTACTGCTCAGTTGTAAAATCTAACAGGCAATCAAAAACTCCAATTCAACTCAGAAGTTATAAAATAAAAAATATTAAAGGTGTTCCAAAATACCCATCATAATATGATGATGAATATCCACATTCGTCGATGCCAAGACATTAACCCCTTAATATTCCATTTCAACCTTATAATTCATACGCAGTTAAAACTCAAAATGTTACTCCTCAAAACTTCAATGAATCTTCTCATCACTATCCCCAAGGTCATTTAAAACTATTCAATACAACGGTAAATATTTATTTAATAATTTAAGGTTTAGAGTTAGGTATGCAACATGCAACAACATAATTATAATATTTTGTAGGTACCTATAATATAGCATATTTATGTACCTACGTTATAGAAAGGTTGGGCATCAATGAGTTGAAAAGTTACCTAACCTAAGTCTTCTAAGTTATTATTTTTTTTCCATGTTATTCAATAACTTGTGAATTAATTAATTTTGTTGCCGAATTAAGTTTATTTTTACCTAATATTCCATAGATTTAAAATTTATTCTGTTTTATACATTTTTTTAATGCATACAAAATCAATAATCTGAAACATCAAATATTCTTTGTAAATTATAATGTTATTTTCTTTACAAGTTAAAAAGTAACATATTTTTTAACTTAACTTCAATTTTTGTGTATTAACTGAAGTGAATAGTGTTTATCAAACAGTCACATTAATTTTTATGAGAGTTTTAAGTTTAAATTTTTACAACATTTCTCATGTGCCACTACTGCTAGTAGTCAGTAAAACAACATTTTGTCCCTAAATTCTGAAGCTTAAACATTTTAAATATTATTTAGGTACATATTGAAATATTAATCTTTTTTCGACTGTACAAAATAAGCATTTTGATTAGTACAGTTCACTGGATGATGCTTAATCAACAACTGAACTTAGAAGTTTAATTGAGTGCACTGTATGTCCGTATTATATATAATATTATGTTTTACATGTTGCGTGTTCAGCCATTTACTCAATCGATTAAAATATAAAATAAAATGTACCTATTCTTTATTTTTTTATATTATTTATTAATAATATTACTTAAACAATAAGTTAATATTAAAAATTTAGATTCACAGCAATGAATGAATTGTTTCTACAATGAAGTGTTTTTTAAATTTTTTACCACATTAATTTATTAAGCTACGATTCATTAAAACTATGACTAAAATTCATGCAAAATAATATTGCTCTGAACTTTTCTCATAAAAGTATTCAAATATTTGAACTTATAAGTTATAACCATAAAATAATTATAAGTATTAAATTAATAATTTTAAACTTTAACTAAAAATAAATCAATAATTACTTTTGAAGCTGAAAAATAAAAATTAATAACTCTAGTCACTATTAAATATTAATATTATGTATATGTATGTTCTATTTTTATTGATTTATTTTAAAATTAAGTTACCATAAAAATCAATTTAACAAAAATGTATGCATGTTTAGATGTCTATAAGTTGCCTTTAACATAATTATGATTGAAAATTGAATGTAAATATTTAATAATAACATAGATTCATGGCTAAAATACATTGTTAAGATCACAAATATCAAAAAATAAATCACTTTTGTGTAAGTAAAACTAGGTAACTCGTTTGAGAATTTTCTTTTCAAGAATTTTTTAAACATTATTGCAACCTGTTTGATTTAATTATCACCAATAGTTATAGCGTAGTTTAAGAAGTTCATTAAAAAAAATTGTTCATTTTTAACCAAAATTTATTAAACATTTTTATTGTTATTATAACTATACTCCATATCTTAATCTTTTTAATAATTTATAAAAATAAAACATTGTGAATTAATTTCTAATATTATGATAAATAATACAGACTCCAAATTAATATCACTTAAAAGTTATTAATTCTTATTAATAAAAAAAACCATAAGGGAAAAATACATTTTGAATTGTAAAACTGGAGCTTATAAATATAAAATTGATTGTAAATAAATTGTATACATCTTAAGCATTGTGTTGTGTATCTCTACTGTTAGTTGGAAGATTATCGTCATCAATTGTGGCTAACATTGGTTCAACGTCATTTGCATTGTCTTGACCAACTTCTTTCTCAACACTATCGTGAGTTTCTTGAGCAGCCTGATAAAGATATTTTTTTATAACCATTTAATATTATGTACTTTGTTTCTAAGTATTTTCTATCCTCACCTCAACAACCTCAATAGCCTGATCAGGAAGCAATGTTCTACGTCCTATTTGTATCGACACTATCCAATTTTTGTAGACTTTAATTTTATTTTCACAATCGTCGAAGTGAATCAAAAGTAAGGCACATTTCATGCACATCTGATCAGCAGGGGTTACAATCACCTCATATTCTTTTCCCAGCATCTCAGGAAATTTTTCTGAGAATGGTGTATTACTGAGTGGTGTCATGCTTGAACACACCTGTGTACTTCCACTGTACAATTCGTTATTACAAATAAAACAGAGAACCATTGTATCTAGAAAAAAACAATGCCTTTTTTGTTAGGTATAGGTGATAACGAATTGAATATTAAGATTACTATTAAACACAGAATATAGGTACATTAAACATTTTACTTTATAATAATTTACAATGTTTACAGGTACTAGAACATTGTAGTATCATCGACAGAAGTAATAAACAAAATTTATTCGACCTTTAGACGTTTTGACGGTTTTGAATGAACCTGTTCCTTGTCGTAGCCACAAATTAGTATCACTGACTGAAACTTAGCTTATGATAACAGTGTTGCCAGAATTATTGATAAGGAAATCGCCAATTTACTTTTCCAAAAACGCCATCTACCGCCAAAATTAAGCTTTAAAAATTATCGCCATCTATCGCCAAAATTTCAAAAAAAAATTTTTTTCGACGTCACTTTATTGGATTTGGCCAACACCATTTGGCATTTTTGTCAGTTTGTTACTTTATTAATAAAGATAAAATTATAACTATTTAAACGGAACCAAACTAAACAAATTATGATTGAAAAAAAAACAAAACTTTATTAATAAAATGATAACAGTATAAACAGTATAAATTATAAGTTCTTTTGCCCAATGTATACATGTTTTATAAAACAACATCTTATATTTTATATTATAACAAAAAAGTAAATACAAATTATTATTTAGCAGTTTTAATAGTATTGATACATATAGCATTATAGTTATAACACAAGTTTAATAAAAATCAGGTAAACTTATTTCGTTTACTATATTAATTAATTCATCGTTAAAATCATTGTCTAATGATTCAACATTATTAATAATAGTGTTCACATCATTTTTTTTGTTATACATTTCTGAATTAAACTTGTCATACATTGATTTAGGTGGTACAAATTCTGTACAACATGTTTTCGTAGAAATAAATGTAGTTTTTATTCTTAATAAAGCATCCAACATATTTGCATTTATACGATTTCTGGATTTTGTTTTTACTGTATTCATTATAGAGAATACTCGCTCCACCACAGCATTGCTTGAAGGCAATGAGAGACCTTTTAGAACGAATTCTGACAATTCCCTAAATGCAAAATTACCACCCGCATCTTTGTAATTGTAAACTTTTGGCCAAAATAAGTTGGCATCGTTTAACTGTTTTTCATTTAAGTACATTTTCCAAGTTACTGTTGTTAATTTTTCCCATTGTGTTTCTATCAATACAATCTCTGAAGGTTTTAAAAATAAATTAACAAAAGGTAAATCAATAAAATTTACATGCAATTGGCATAAACACAAAGTGGGAAAAAATAATTTCATTTTCTTGAAAAATTCAATGTTGTCGGGCAATCTCTTTTTTATTTCATACAGTAATTGTTTAATAAAATTAAAAGCTTGTGTCTGTACATTAGACTTCTTTTCTTGAGATAAATTTATATTAATTATTGACTGGTTATACCCCACTCCATAATCACAATTGCTCGAATGTCGGTATACAGAATCATTATTAATATTGTTATATATATATTCAAATCCTTTTGACACTACAGATTCTTTTATAATTTTCTTTGCCAAAAATATAAATAAACAACAAATATCATCATAGGACCTTCCAAGATCCACAAAATTCTTTTGAAAAGTTAAATTTAAGGAATTTAATTCTTGTAAAATGGGTTTTATGATGATAAGATAAAGGTAATTAGTGTCATCATGTAGCATTTCATGTATAATTCGTGAAGCGTAACATTTTTCCTTTTTCACCATAAGAGAAAAATGAGTTTTAAGCTCTAGCCAGTGTTCTAGAATGGTGTTAACGACAAAACTGCGTGCTAGCCACCGTGTGCCAGATATCTGGTGAAAATTATGGAACTTTTTATTCAAGCCAGAGTTAAGAAGATCAAACATTTGTTTATACTCATCCCTTCTTTTTGGACTTATATGGAACCAGTTATACACTTCTCTGCAAAGGTAATCAATAGTACTAGGAAAGCTTTCTGATGCTTTTGAAACTGCATTGTTCAAAGAATGACAAATACATCTTACGATTTGCAAGTTTGGACTTTTTTGTTTTAAATTGGTAAAAAGAGAATGATATTTTCCGCATAA